GGCATCACAGCTCACAGCAACCTCCAACTCCTGGGCTCAAGCGAGTCTCCTGCCTCTGCCTCCCAAGTAGCTGGGACTACAGGCACCTGCCACAATGCTCGGCTATTTTTTGGTTGCAGCCATCATTGTTTGGTGGGCCCGGGCTGGATTCAAACCTGCCAGTTCAGGTGTATGTGGCTGGCCACAGGCGCAAAGCCAGAACGTGCTTTCTTAAGAATATAAAAGGAAAGGAAGATATCTTTAATTTAGAGTTCACAGTATATCTGAGAAAGAGCTATTCAAGGTAAAAAGGCTTAAAATATTTACACTCAGGGCCAGGTATGGTGGCTCATACCTGTAATCCCAGCACTCTGAGAGGCCAAGGTGTATGGATTGCCTGAGCTAGAGCGAGACCCCGTCTCTAAAACTAGCCAGGCACTGTGGTGGGCACCTGTAGTCCCAGCTACTCGGGAGGCTAAGGCAAGAGAATCGCTTGAGCCCAAGAGTCTGAGGTTGCTATGAGCTATGACACCACGGCGTCACTTTACCAAGGGCAACAAAATAAGACTTTGTCTCATAAAAAAAAAATTTACTCAGTCTTAGACATACATGTCTACAAATTATATTAGAACAACAGAAGTAATTTTTTTATGGACTTCTTGGTGGAAGACATCACTCTACATCATGCATCTAGTGAGTGTAGTTACTGAAATATCATACATGTCTTATGTGATTTCTTTTTTTTTTTTTGCAGTTTTTGGCCGGGGCTGGGTTCGAACCTGGCACCTTCGGCTTATGGGGCTGGCGCCTTACTCCTTTGAGCCACAGGCACCGCCCAGGTGATTTCATTTTTTAAGGTATCCTATAACATGATTTTTAAGAAGTGTCTTAGTGGGTAAAGTTAAGACCTAAAAGTAGTGAGGAAGTTTAGAGTTTTGGGAGAGCATTCCCAAAATAGCTTAGTAGTGCTGACTAGTTTTTCTTTAGGGTGGGAGATAGGTAGGCAAAGAGATTTGGGGAAAATTTAATTATAGTACATACTCCAGAGTGGTTGCTGGGAGTAGAGGGAGAATCCATTCTCTCCAAATTTATGGAGGATGAAACTGTTAAAACAGGTCTCTTTTCACGTTCTGATTTGACTCAAGGTTAGGAGAAACCTCTACCAACTACTAACATATTTTATTACTTTTTCCCTTTTGTCTTCCCCAGTATGGGTGGCATTCCTGCTCGGAATAGTAAAGGGGAAAGGCTCCTGCTTTATATTGGCATCATTGACATTCTGCAGTCTTACAGGTGAGGAGCAGATGGATCCCAAAATTAGGAGACAGTGGCATGCGGGTAGCTACTCAAATTTTTTCTTTAGATGGGTTGGTCACCCCAGTTCTTCCTAAATTAAGAACAGTAAGTTGCGTCTAGTTTCTTACCTCATTGGTCTTCCAGTATTTTATTTTCCTTGATTTTTGCTTCTCTTCCCTGCTTTTTGTACCCCACCACCTCTCCAAACATAATTAATACCTTCTGTGGAAAGCTGAGTCAGTCTTGGAAGCACCAGGGTAAAATATACCATCTCTCTGGCTCTTTGTGAAAAAGCTGTGAGATAGTCATATTCCACATTGAGATAAAGCTGGAGACATGCTCCCCTTTTCTACAGAAGAAAAACAAGTGGGTCCTTGTGTTCTGTAAAAAGTATTTGCCAAAGGTTGGGCATGGTGGCTAATGCCTCTAATCTCAGCACTTGGGAGGCTGAGGTACTTGGATCACCTGAGCTTTAGCTCATGAGTTTAAGAAATGAACAAGAGGGAGGGAGACCCTGTCTCTTAAAAAAATATATCTGGGTATTGTGGTGTGCTCCTGTAGTTCCAGGTACTTGCGAGGCTGAGGCAAGAGTATCACTGGAGCCCAAGAGTCTGAGGTAGCTGTGAGCTATGATTCCCTGGCATTATACCCAGGGTGACAAAATGAGATTCTGTCTCAAGAAACAAAAAACTAGCCTCTGTAACTGAGAGAGAGCAAAGTAATGATGGAGGAGGAGCTGGAAATGTTACAATTCCACATTTGGTCCTGTGAGGTTTCAGGTACTATTGAGGACCAGACAGTACTTGATTTATTCATTCAGAGTATTATACCTCCACCTTTTTTTTTTTTTTTTTCCTTTTTGAGACAGAGTCTCTGTTGCCTCAGGCTGAAGTACCATGGTTCAGCTTAGCTTGGAGCAGCCTCAAACTCCTGGGCTTCAATGATCCTCCTTGCCTTAGCCTCCCCAGTAGCTGAGACTTACAGGCACCTGCCACAATACCCAGCTAATATTTCTATTTTTAGTAGAGATGGGGTCTCTCACACTCTCTTGATCAGGCTGGTCTCGAACTCCTGAGCTTAACGGATCCTCCTGCCTTGGCCTCCCAGAGTGCTAGGATTACAAGTGTGAGCCACCTCTCCTAGCCTGATTTAGATTATCACCCAATTTTTTTTTTTCCGAGATAGAGTCTCACTTGGTCACACTTGGTAGTGTGCCCTGGTGTCATAGTTCACAGCAACCTGAAACTATTGGGCTTAAGCCATCCTCTTGCCTCAGCCTCCCAAGTAGCTAGGACTCAGGTGCTTGCCACAATGCCCAGCTATTTTTTAGAGACAGGGTCTCACTCTAGCTCAGGCTGGTCTCAAATTCATGAGCTCAGGCGATCCACCTGCCTTGTGCTGGGATTACAGGCGTGAGCTGTTGCACCCTGCTAGTATTTCCCAATTTTAACTACCCTTTCTAGGCTTATCTATTTCCAACTCTCCTTTATAATACATATTCTTTTTTTTTTTTATTTTTTGAGACAGAATCTCATTATGTCACTGTCAGTAGAGTGCTGTGTCATCACAGCTCACAGCAACTTCAAACTCTTGGGCTCAATCCATCCTATTGCCTCAGCCTCCTGAGTAGCTGAGACTACAGCACCTGCCACAATACCTATCTGTTTTGTTATTGTTGTTGTCATTGTTGTTTAGCAGGCCTGGGCCAGGCTTGAACCCACCAGTCCCCAGGCATGTGGGCAGCACCCTAATCACTGAGGTATGGGCGCTGAGCCTGTAATACATATTCTTGTCCCTCATTTGCTACAGACATATACACTACCTATTTCTTTTTTGTTTTCTTTTTTGAGACAGAGTCTCACTTTGTCGTGCTTGGTAGTGTGGTGTCACAGCTCAGCAACTTCCAACTCTTGGGCTTAGGCAATTCTCTTGCCTCAGCTTCCCGAGTAGCTGGGACTACAAGTGCCTGCCACAGTGCCTGGCTATTTTTTGTTGCAGTTGTCACTGCTGTTTGAGCTGGCCAGGGCCGGGTTCAAACCCGCCACCCTCCATATATGGGGCCAGTGCCCTACCCACTGAGTGACAAGGCACTGCCATATACTACCTTTTTTGCCTGCGGGAATGATTGACTTACTTAGAAATAATATCGATCTCCATCCTGAGCCAGTATACCACAGTGGATGTGCTTTCCTAGCTTCTATTTCTTCAGGGTTTCCTATTATCATTGCCCCCATTAAGTAGAAAATTATAAGGTCATTCATTGAAAAATTATTCTGAGTGTGATTAAAAAAAAATATTTTGGCAGGTTTGTTAAGAAGTTGGAGCACTCTTGGAAAGCCCTAGTACATGATGGGGTAAGTAGCAATAGCTAAAGGCTTTTCTCCCCATTTCTGTCTCTGTCAGTTATGATTGGTCTCCTCAGTTTCTTCTATTTACTTATTTCATTTGTGGATTTTACCCTGCTGGTAGGGTCTCAATCTACAAGAAAATGGCTCTTGGACTAATGGTTCTCTTGCTGGGCCTCCCTCGCTCTTAACTCTGTAGCCATCTCTTCTCTGCAGGACACTGTATCAGTGCATCGCCCAGGCTTCTATGCTGAACGGTTCCAGCGCTTCATGTGCAACACAGCGTTTAAGAAGATTCCCTGTAAGTGATTTCTGCCAGATGATCCATACCCCCCACTCCCCTGCCTCCCTTAACCCAAGAGATGGGAGCAAAACACCTTTGTCAGGGAGCTCCCAAGGCTAGGGTCCTCTCCTTCTCCACCTACATCCCTTCAGAGTTGCTTCTCATTCTTAACATCTGTCACTCCACCTTAGTTATTTCCAAGTTGATGCTTTCCCTCAGCTTTCCTACACATGTCATTGACGTGAGGGCTGTGTTTGGGGAATTGATGTGATTTGGGAGAAAATTTATAATTGTGCATGTAGGATTCATGTTACAGGGTGAGATGTATCGACTATTTTGTACAGAAATATGTGAGGATAGGGGCATACTGCCCATAATTCAGTGGTTAAGGGCAACAGCCACATACACTGGGGCTGGCAGGTTCAAACCCAGCCTAGGCCTGCTAAACAATAATGACAAGTGTAACAAAAAATAGCCTGGCACTGTGGCGGGCACCTGTAGTCCCAGATATTTGAGAGGCTAAGGCAAAAGAATCACTTAAGTCCAAGAGTTTGAGGTTGCTGTGAGCTATGATGCCACAGCCCTCTACTGAGGGTGACAAAGTGAGATTCTGTCTCAAAAAAATAAATAAATAAAGGCTCAGCACCTGTAGCACAGCGTTATAGCACTAGCCACATACACCAAAGCTGGTGGGTTTGAACCCAGCTCAGGCCAGGTAAACAACAATGATAACTGCAATAAAAAATAGCTGGGCGTTGTGGTGGGCAACTATAGTCCCAACTACTTGGGAAGCAGAGGTGAGAGAATCGCTTAAGACGAGAGTTTCAGGTTACTGTGAGCTGTGATGCCACAGCACTGTACTGAGGGTGACACAGTGAGACTTTGTCT